TTTTTTATTTTGTGGTAGGTGAAAACGGCAGGGTAGGAAATAAATAACGCTTGATATTAAATAGAAACTATGCTAGCAAGTGGGACACCAACACCCGGCCTATGCTACACGCTCCGCGTGACAAGCACAAGCGCAACGCCTATAATAAACCCCACTTAAAACAGGAGTGATAAAGATGAACATGAAATTAACCCTAGTGCAATCCATGATGGCTTATAAGCTATACGCAGACAAATACGGCTGTATGTATTACGTGTTCGCCCAGCGTCCCGGCGTGTTGGTTGATAGTGGCGAGGCCGTCTCACCCGATGAACTGCTAGGCTATACCTTTCAGGACTACCACTATAATAAAATAGAAAATATCTGCGATCACCTGTTTACAACGGAATAGCAAAGCGCTATTATAAAACCACTGAGCAACACCGCTCTTAACATGACAAAAGGAAACAAAATATGTCAATCAAACGCACTTTCACTGTATTCAAATTGGTTCGTGACGTAGACGGCGAAAAGAAAGAAATGGCTTTCTCTCGTCAAGCTCAAGCTGACCAGTACAAAGCGATTCTGGAACACTTCGGCGTAACTGACGTTACCGTAGAATCCGAAAAACGCACTGTCGAACTGTAAGTTCGGCTCCCAAACTAACCCAAGACAAAACAGGACAAAACAATGCCTAACTTATACTCCAAAAAACTCGACAAAGCTGCTATCTTCAACCTCGCGCAAAACGCCTCCCCTATCGGTGATGTGCTGGAAACTCCGCTGCTGGTTGTTGGTCTGCACCACAAAACCGTTACCACTGGTGAGGGTGAAGAAAAGCTCCTTACTATGGTGTTCGTCAATGAAGGCAGCGAGAAAGAGCCGGATATCAAATCCTACTTTTCCTCCGCGCGTTCCTTCTTTAACGGGTTGGAGGATGTTGCAAACATCTTCGGCGATGATATCAAGGGCAACGGCGTAACGCTGACGGTTAAGAAAGTAACCACGCGTAATAACAACACCGTTTACACCGTCTCGCTGTAAGCAACTGCAATAAACAAGCCTCTCTTAATTGAGGGCTTTTTCTTGTCTATTCCTCGATAACCCATTACAATAACACCTTAACATTCAATGAGGTGAAGAAATGGCACAATCCCCAGCGTTAAAAAACCTCTTGCGGCGTGTTCGTCGTTTCAATCAGTCTAACCCCACTCAAGCTCTTAACGTAGAGTCCTACTCGTCAATTGGTAACAACACCGTAAAGATTGCACGAGCTAACGAGCGTCTAAACAAGCTCCAGAAAGTTACCCGCATAAATAAGAAGATCCAGCAATCGGCAAACAAGATTGTAGAATTAAAAACAAAGGGCTTCACCTATGAGGCAACCACTAGCGGGAAAGTTAAGCCGATTAAAATCAAGGCTCCTAAAACCGTTCAATCTGCTGAAAGGGAGTTAAAACGTGTTAAGGAACTTGAAAGAAAGGCTAGGGAGTTTAGGAAGCGTCAAGATAAGTTTATCCGTAAAGCTGCGGCTTATAATCGTCACCTCTCGCGGCTGCAAAACGAAAAGCGTTTCGTGTTCCTTCCCGGACGGAAAGCGAGTTAAAACGCGCTGAAAAAGCCCTTAACCTAATCAAGCGTGATAAAGTAGCGGAGGCTAAAAAGGCGCTCGCCCTCCCTCCCACAAAAGAGTTTAGGCAATCTTTGATGGATAAAGATGCACGTAGTTTACGGCGCAACGGCGGTTACTCCTATCATGACCGCGTGTTTTTCTTTCAGGCTTTAAAGAATGCGCGTAACTCCATTGTTCCTGAACTGTATGATTTATTCCTTGAGGGTGGCGAGTCCCTTTTACTGGACTTAGAAAACGCTGGCTTTACTATGGTTGAATGGTATGATGTTGATGAAACGTTAGACGAGCCAGAACAACATATTATAGCCATGCTAGAGGATGCGTTAGAATCTATGAACGGTCGCAACCGTGTTATTACAGAGCGATTCATAGAACGCGTTTCCGGGAAATACAATTAAATGAAGAAATTCGAGCCTTCAAAATGCTACGCTTTCGATTTCGAGTGTACTAGCCGTGAGCCGTCAGAGGTTTACTTGTGCGCCGTTGCTCGCCTGTCGAAGCTGCAAAAGAAACACGTCCGCGTTTTCTACACCATCGGCGACACGGTAGAATACATTTTCACGCGTGGGAAAGGCTCAAAGTTTTACGCTCACAATTTAAAGTATGATATTTCTTTCATTCTCTGCTACCTGTTCCAACATCACGAGGGTGAATTTTCGATAGAGAAAGCTATCATACAGGATATGACAAAGAGTGTTGTAACCATGACTATCAAGTTTATGGGGAACACTATCACCTTCATTGATACAGTGCCGATTTTCTCTGCTCCGCTGGCTAGCGTGTTGAAAGCGTTTACCGATATGGAGAAGGGAGAAACACCACTCTTTGATTATCCAGAGGATGTAGTGTTAACGCCTGATATCGTTGATTATTGTATCACCGATGCGTTAGGGTTGGCTAAATCCATCATCAAGCGCTTAGAGTACGGCGTAGGCTCGCTGACAACGGCTAGTGACGCATTCAAGACTTTTAAGGCAATGGTAAACGAGGAAAGCAAAGGCCGCTTTGATAGATTCTACCGCCCACTTGAGCCGGAAATAGATAAGTTTATCCGCCCTGCGTACCGTGGCGGCTTCACGTATTTAAACCCGGATTATCAGGGCAAGATGTTGAAAGGCGTTAGTGTTATTGATGTTAATAGCATGTACCCGGATAAGATGTATAACGAGTTACTACCTCATAGCGAGCCGAAATTTGTTAAGGCTGGCGAGGTTGTAACTAATAACACTTATCAGCTAGGGATTCAGATATTCACGATTAAAAGCGCAAAACTTAAATCAGGGTTTACGCCCTTCCTTTCAACGTCGAATACATTAATGCACGCTGCCAACTACTTGAGCGAAATCGACGAAACTTTACCACTAGAGAAAAGGACGTTTAGTTTAACCCTGCAAGAGTTCGAGCTATTTAAAAAGTCTTACGATTTTCAGGAACTGGAATTACAAGGCGGCTTTCTGTTTAAGGCTCGCCGTGATATGTTTAGAAAGTACATAGATAAATATTGGGAATTAAAGGAGATAAGAATGCCACGATTAAAACCATCGGAAAACTTTTCCTTAACTCGCTTTATGGAAAATTCGCAGAGGGAATGGAAAAGAACACTTATGAGCCATACTATGACGACGGCATTAAATGGCGACTCAAAGAAACGGAGACGCGCCCATGCGGTTATTTACCTGCTGGCGTGTTTATCACTTCTTACGCGCGTTGCTTTTTACTCGACTCTATTAATAGGATTGGTGTTCATAATTTTGTTTATTGCGATACAGACTCAATCCATTTCTTTGACGATGGTGAGTGCGCTAGCACTTTGGATATGCACCCATCCCGCCTCGGTGCTTGGGACTTTGAGAATTATTTTGAACGCGCTTACTACGTTCGTTCAAAGCGTTATTGTGGGGAATATATTAATAAAGCTAGCGGGGAAATCTCGTTAAAAATGGCTTGCGCGGGTATCAAAACAAACGCGCTTAAAGAGCAAATCTTACGGATAGAGGATTTCAAAGAAGGACGCCCCATTAAAACTATAGAGTTTAAACAGGGCGTTAACGGTCAACACGTAAGAGACAAGACAATTAAAATATAACTTCACTCACGAGGTTTTAGCGGGTACATCTTTAAACGTTATAAACCCTCTTTCAAAGTACATCTTAACCCGTTTTAAATACGGGTTTTTCCGTACATTATCAATCGTCCTTTCTTCTCGCAGTTGTTTATCGAGGTTGAAACTCGGACACCCATCAATAGGCGGACGGGCAGCAATATGAAGATAAGTGCGGTTATCATGAATGTAATCATAGACTACTAAATCCACGCCGGAAATAGTGATATTCACGAAAGGCGTTTTCTTTGTTCCCTTCAAATCGTCTATAAACGAATAATCATCTTTTATAGATTCATTATCGAGCATGAACGAACCATACTGAGTGCCGCTAATCAAGTTACCAAAACGCGTTTTCCTTTTCGCGTCCCTATAAGCCATGCTCTTAAACTGGTAAATCATAATTGACTGAGTTCTAAAGCGTGTCTTAGGCGTGTCTTTACTGGCTGGCTTAATAGCAAAGTACACGTAATAAGGGTTGTATATTGTGTCTTGGTTAGCAAGACAAACAATAGTGATTTCCCTCATACGCCCGATAGTTTCGACGAGACTAAGAAACTTGTTTACCTCGTCCTTGAGGTAAGATTTAGACTCGCTAATAAACTCGTCAAATAACAGCGTTTTAACGTTAGGGAACGCAACGGATTTAAATTTGTAGGCGGTGCTAATAGCAATTCCCCGCCCCATAACTTTACCGTCACATAAAAAATTCTCGCCTTTCACCTGTAAAACATGGTCGGGAAAAACATTATCAGCGATTAGAGCCGCAAACAAAGTAGGTAAACATAAATCTAGCTCACTCTGAGTGCGGCGGATATAAATAAACTGCTCTTCGGTATCAATGAAATTTTGTGTTAGTTTTTTAAGGCTTGAATAAGTCTTTCCCGCGCCACGCTCGGAAACCACGAAATTCAATAGCATGTCTTCTTTTGTCACGTCATTTAAATCGAAATACATTTTTAAGCCCTTAGATTGTTACTGCTGGCATGTCCGACTCACTGTATGAGAAGTTAAACTCCACTTCTTTAGTGAATGGGTTATACACTACGCGGAACTCGTGGGGCAGCGTTTGGTCATTGCTATAGAAAACACCTTCAACATAGTTCGGCGTATTAGCGTTAGCGATAGCATTGACATTAGCGCCACTATTAACGTTGGAATAAGTGCCGCCGCGTGTAGCTGTTTGAAGCTGCCCAGTAGTGTAACTGAGATTCCAGCCCACTTGCGTAGCGGTGATATTTAACTTCAACGTCCCATAACCTACATCGTGTTCCTCGCTTGCGGCTTCACCCGCTTTTGCAACAACCTTAATAGCAGGTGAGAAACGAGCGTCAAGCGCTTTAATGCTTGAAGTTAATTTCGGGTTTTCCGTTTCGAGTTTTTCAACACGCTCGCTAACAGATCCAATACTATCTTCAACCAGCCCAATCTGTTCAAGGATATACGCATTTAATTCCTCCATTTTAACATTAATGCGGTTTTGAGCCTCCAGAATACTATTGATAGTATCCCATTGTTTCAAATCGCTATTTTTAATCTCGTCGATTTCCGCTTGTAGCGCGTCTTGAGCCGCTTTAATATCCACTTTGTATTCTTTACGGACGTTATTAATATCGTCCTGCAAGCTGGCGGTGTTGGTCTGCTCGGTTTCCTCAACCGATTTAATATAGCGGTTAAGCTCGTCGTACTTTTCCTGCAAGTTATCGGCGGCTTCTTTCTTCACGGCTGCAATCTGATCTTTTAAATCGGTGTGCGTATTTGCGTTAGCTTCCTGATAGCTCTCTACTTTATTGTCGAGGTTATCAATACGCTTATTAACACGCTCTAACTCGGTTTCCAGCCATTGACGCTGCGCCGCGTTGTTCTTATTAACGCTAGCCATAAACGCGTTAATATTTGCGTCCTGCTGGTTTAACGCGCTTCTTACTTCCTGCTCAAAATTGGCGATTTCAGTTTGACGCGCTTCCGTCTCTGCTTTAATTGCCGCATCCGTGGAGGTTTTATTATCCGTCACGGTCTGAGTGAGGGCGTTAATTTTGGCGCTCAATTCGCTGTTAATATCGTCCGCGTATTTCTTCGCGTCAGACAAAACAGAGTCATAGCCAGCAATAGCCGCATCTAGTTTATCCGGGTCGAATTGGGATTTCAGTTTATTAACTTCGTTCCACAATTGCTCGTTACTGACGCTGATGTTATCAATGTTGCTTTGCAGCAAATTAATGGTTGTCTGATACTGATTAAGCAACAAATCAACGTTAGATTTGAAATTGTTGTTATCAGTTTGCAGATTCTGGAACGCCACATTTAAATTAGTCTGCGCCGTGTTGAGGTCTTTTAAACCTGACTCCAGCGAGGCAATGCGCGATTCATGGTCTTTTAACGTGGTAGAGCTAGACGCGTTAATTTCTTTCTGCGTCTCGATAGTCTCCTTTAAAACGCTGCGGTTTAAGTCAATCTGCTTTGTCAGATAGACGTTAATTTCCTGCTGCGTGGCGTATTGTTCCCAACGGCGCACACAAGCAAGCGGGTCGAAAATATCAGTGTTAGGCAGCTCCATTCCAGAACCTCTTATCTTTACGAACATCAACATGAGTAAATAAACGATATTTACCCGCACCGCCATTATTATAATGGCTTGAGACGTAATTATATACGTCCGCTGGCTTCACGTCACGAATAATAATATCCGCCGCCGTTCCTAACAGGTGTTGAGAATGAGCCGCGCCGCCTACGCGTTTATTGTGTTTCTCGCAACGACAAGCGGACGTGATAATAATTGATTTGCCAAAATGGGCGCGGATTTCTTCAAGCCTTTCAATTAAAGCCGGGGAAACATCCCCCGGATTCAGGCCCAAACCGCACCCACATTTACAAGCAAATTCAGTGCTTTTAAAGTGGGCGCTTAATTGCATGTTAGAACACTCCTATAAATAAATCGTCTAATTCGTCAAGGAACATTTTATCAATGTTGATAAAAGTTTTCCGCCATTCCATAAGGGCTTCACTCATTAATACCCCGTCAAGCCCTACGGTTTCACCATCGGCAAATTGTGTGGTCTGATTTGCCGCCACTACTTCACGGTCTGCGTAACTTTGACCGCCTCCCACACCCTTACTTTGTCCTACGCTGCTTGCTTCCGTTCCCTGCGTAGAGAACGCATTATTACCACGCTCGCTAGCGTCCTGCGCGTACCCGTTCTGCGTGTTGGCACTAATCCCGGTTGCGCTTTCGCGGTCACGAGACGCGGTAGTAATATAACCATCGTTAAAATACTTGTCACTTGCCGCACTGCTAGAACTAGAGCCGCTACTATCACCGCCCCCGGCCTCACCCTCGGTTTGTGCTTGTGTTTGCGGAGTATCGGCAAATAGGTTTAGTTTTGAACTACCGGATTCGTTGATGCCTCGCTGCTTATCAAGGGTTTGGCGGCTTGATAAAGTATTTTCATTAAATCCGCTTGTTGTTCCTCCGGTGCTAACATCAACGTTGCTATTAGCAGAATTAGAGTAATTGTGGTTTTTAGTATTCGCGGTTTCATAGTCTTTTCTACGCCCCTTATTGCGAGAGAAATTGTTATTCTTAATTTTAATATTAACGAAAGGGTTAATATGTAGGTTTTCTGACTCATAGAGTTTTAAATATTTCGGTAATAGTTCGGAGATAGATAACTCTAGCATACGTTTAAACATTGCGTAAGAGTCAAAACCAATATTTCGATAGCCGAAGCGGAGTAGGAAACGGTGTTCGAATATGGGTTTATAATCCTCCGGCATGTCATAAGGAAACGTAAACAACGTGTCATTATGCGCATTCATTGCCTGAGACAATAGCATAGTATATACGCGCATTATTCTTCCTCTTTGAGTGGGCTAATTTCCTCGTTGAGATTTGGGACTAACTCACAAGTGAGGTTAATGTTTGCCATTTCGAAAATTTTCTTGCTGGCTTCCTGACGGCATTCAAGAGTACCCTGTAAAATGATATGCGCCATAGTATCATTTTTATTAATCTCGTCCTTGTTTACCTGCGCTTGTTTGATAACGGTTGGCGTGGTAATTCCCAGCTTTGAAACGCACTCGTTATATAAATCCTGTTTGTACATGGCAAGCCCTTTTAAATCGTTGGCGTTATGCGATGAGTTATGCGTGATAGTTAATTTACCCAAATCTTCTAGCAGGGATTCATTAACAACTACAAATTCCTCGTTGTTATAAATGTTGCGGATAAACTCCTTACGTGTTTTCTCGTTTTTAAAGTTACCGCCCAGAATTACAGGCTTTTTCATTGCCTTTGAGTAGATTTCACAACTACGCGCGGTATCAGCAATTAGACGCGTGTAATATTGAACGGTGTAATAGGGGATATTATTTGCCGGGTTATCCCTCAGTAAATAAAACTCCCCGTAGTTTAAAACCTTGTTCGCTTTATCGTTAAAAGGAAACATCACGGCAACTTGTGACGGCTCGCCGTAAACGTTTAGCTTCTTAATTGCACACGGAAGCAACATCCATCCA